ACCGCTTTCAAACCCTAAACCCTAAACCCTAAACCGTTGTGTAGAGGCTTCCCAAGGTTCTATGTCGGTTCTAACAGCTTAGTGAATGGGTTTGGAAGGATCTTTCAGGGAGCTCAGGCAGCCGCATTCGCCACAATTGGTTCAGGGATAGGGTTTAGGGAATGAAGCAAGCTACCTCAAACTCGGAACCCTGGGCCCTAAACCCTAAACCCACATCCTTGAACCCACCCTTAATCTTTATCAAGCATCCCTCTATATCTAAGTTTACATCGTTTTCCTTCACTGGTGGGTATTGACTTGTTTGCTTGGGGTCGATGGCTTCTTCTTCGTCCTCATCACCACGATCATCACCATCATCACCATCACCACCATCACTACCATCACCATCATCACCATCATCTCCATCATCACCATCATCACCATCATCGTCGTCAACATCATCAACGTCATCATCATCGTCGTCAACATCATCATCGTCATCATCATCGTCATCATCATCAGCGTCATCGTCATCGTCATCGTCATCATCTCATCATCGTCATCATCGTCATCATCATCATCACCAACACCACCATCATCATCATCATCGTCATCAGCAACAGCATCAGCATCAGCATCGGCATCATCATCATCATCGTCATCATCATCATCATCATCAACATCATCATCATCATCACCATCTTCATCAGCGAATTATACACAATGATTATGGCCATGAGGTTTCCTAGCAGCAGTATCATGTCTGGTACCAGCGCCATGTCTGTTTACAATCACGAGCATAACTATTGCCATGTTTTTCTCATCCGCACAGAGAGCTGTTCTGATATTCGCTGATCCTGTATAGTTAGATGCAAGCCCGTCGAGCTATGAGGGCTGTCATACGTGTTGTGAAAGGCAGCGTTAGAAATTGCTGTCGTCACTGACGCACGGTGGCCTTGTTATCATGACTGGGTTACCATGTCTATGAAGATGGTTGGTAAGCCACATGTGACAGAACTAGGATAGCCTCGGTGCCGATGGGCTCGTGCCTTCGAGAACAAAGACGGTTGGCCTGACGTCGCTGTCAATCTCGCGCTTGCGGTGATTGCAAAGCCTGCGAAGCCTCTGCTATTTCTTTCAACCGATGCTACTATTCATACTTCACGAGGGGATCTGGACTGAATCATGTCTATGTACCAAGGCTCCCATACTACAGATTATGTACTTGATCTTATATACTTTATATCATATACTATACATTATATATAGTGTGTTAAGCAGAATAGAACAGAATAGAACTGATTAGAAAATAACATAACATAACATAACGTAACATAACATAACATAACATAACATAGCATAACATAACATAACATAACATAACATAACATAACATAACAGAACATCATGTAGGTTGTTTTGCACAACACAGTGGAATATATCAAATACTAATACAGTGCAACATAAGATGGTATAATGAAACATGGCATAGTATAGTATAGGAAGATAAGGTTCGATGTGATATGGCATATGATATGATATGCTACGACATGACATCATATAATACAACACGTGATAAAGTAGTATAGCATAACAGACTGCAGTACAATATAGCACAATAGACTAGTAAGAGAAAGCACAGTATAAAGTAACATAATATGGTATAATACAATACGGTAAAGAATATCATAATATGTAACACAATATGCAACAGGATTTTCTGGAATGTATTGTCATGTAATGTATACAATATAACAGAATATGCTATAATACATGTAATATAGTACAACTTAATGTATATAATTCAATATCATGTTTCATAACAGTATATTAAAACATGCAATAAAATGTATGATAACATATAATGAATAAAATATAGTATAATGTAATATACTGTATAACAATAATGTAGTAACAGAGAATATAATATACTATAACAGCAAGAAGCGAATATAATATGAAATGCACGTAATATGGTATAGTATATCGTAATATGTCATAGCTTAACATAACATAGTTTAAAACAACACAACATAGTGGGCGTGTATATTGTGTACCGTATAGCTTGCATCGTATATGAAGTATAACGCTTGACAAGCAGTCACTCCAAATGTCTGGGCTCCAAGCGTAGCTTTGCTTCCCTCACGTGCAACAACAAGTCTGCAAAGATCGCCGGGGCCTTGGCTCTTAGGGCGCGGGGCCTTTGCCCTAAACCCTAAACCCCTAAACCCTAAACCCTAAACCCCTAAATCCCTAAAGTCTAAACCCCTAAAACCTAAACCCCTAAACCCCAAACCCCTAAAGTCTAAACCCCTAA